TATGTAATGTGATAATAATTATATATATATATATATATATAATAATGAACATTGTTAACGTTAGAGAAGATAAATAAATCTAAAATTGTAAAAATTGTGTAATGGATAAGAAAAAAATAAAAAAAGAGATTCTTCTGATTGCCTTAATTACTCAAATTAAATCATAAAAGAACTAGGTTTTTAGTTTAAATATTAATTTGTATTTGAATATTTTGTTACAAGATATTTTATAGGTTTATATGTGCTAAAATAGATAAAAAAAAGTTTTTTTAAATTATTGAGAAAGATATTAATTACCCTGATCTTTAATTTAAATTGTAATATTTGACTTGTCTATAAAATATATAGATAATGTAATTATTTTTTAAATTATCGGGAAAGATATTAATTACCCAATATCTTTTAAATTGTTAAATTTTTTACATGACTCATATAATTTTGAATTTAAAAACACAATCGATTCAATATTTTGCTTAAATAATAATTTATGGTGAGAATAAAAATAAAATAAATCCTATTATAATGAACTTTTAGTGAAGTTTAGTCTAAAATTAGATTTTGTCATTATTATCAATGTTCCATGCACGAATTTTTTTTCTTCATATATTAACAATAAGTTAATTATTAATTTTTTTATTATCTATTAATCTATTATCTATTAACAATAAATAAAGAAGATACATTTTTTTCTTAACTCTCTTTACTCTCTACAATTTCCCTGACAGATTTGTCCTCAAAATTTTGGTTATATATTGAGATTTGAATATTACTATTTTAGTATTTTTTTAAAAATAATAAAAATGAATAAATTTATCCTTTGATGACTATTTAAATTCTAAAAAAAATTGACCATAAATTTAAAAGATCTATCATCGATTTTTATTTTTATCAAATCAAAAATTAAAAAATGCCAATCCATTGCAAGTAAACAAAACTAAGATACTAAACTTTTTAACTATCAAAATGTCTAAAATATAATATATTTTATTTTGATAACATTTTAAGAAAAAGTTACATATTTTTATCTAAATTATTAAGCATAAAAAATATTTTTCTTTAGTTATAATGAATATATAAAGATTAAAAATTACTACCCTTTTCAATTTATCTTTAAATATTTTTATTTTATAGCACTATCCTTAAATTTTTTAAAGATTTAATTATTAATCAAGACATTCATTTTATTTTTGAAGACATTTAAGTAAAAATTTACACACTTTTATCTAAATTTATATGAAATATAATAAATATTTTTCCTTAATTGTAGTGAATATATAATGTTGCAAAAAAATTTAGATTATCTTTAAACATTTTAAAGATCAATTTCTTAATGTTTAATAATTTAGATGAATTTCACAAGAAAATAATATTATTTTTGGTTTCATAAAATATTAATATTTAAGATTATACTAATTGAATGATATTTATATTTATGTTAATTTTAAAAGTTATATAATTTAATATTAATAAAAGTATATATAGAAATACGATGATACCACCCTGACACTATCTAAATGTTTTTTTATTTTAGTGAATACACTAATAAGTATTATAATCATTTTAGGAGAAAGATATGAATTGTTTAACTAACAAGTTGAATGGAAAAAAATATACAAAACATTATTGTATTAATTTTATTTAAAAAGTATAATTATCATATTTTTTTAATAAAAAATAATAAAGCTAATTTATGTTG